AATAATAATAATAATAATAATAATAATAATAATAAATAACAACAGCAATAATAATAATAATAAAAGGATAATCTGAGATTACAAACCCTCGCCTTTTTGCGCCATATTTAGGCCTATGTACTGAAAAAATAATGGACCGCGATCGATCCACTCCATCCGCCAAACGAGACCTAGCATCATAGGCCTCGAGTGGCAAGCCCATTAATCGGCGAGTTTGCACGCCGTCCGACCACTTTCCGTCAGACACATGGTCGATCTGCTCCAGTAGTCAGGCCGCGGTCGATCCGCTCCAGTTATCACGCCCTAGCCAAACGACTCCGTCGAACGATCCGCTCGAGTAGTAGGATCCGTCAGTTGCGGCCGAATAATATATGAATAACGATCTAAGATCTGCATTTTACTTCCGATCAACACCAAATTCGAAAAGGACCGAGATACATATAATATTGTCAATGTGTGAAAATTTGTAAATCGGTCCATCTAGTAGTTTTTGAGTTATGCGCCCGGAAGGACACAGACACCACAGACACACAGACCGCCCCACAAACATCCCCCACCCCACACAGACAATACCCTTCACCTAGGAGAGGCGAGAATAATAATAATAATAATAATAATAATAATAATAATAAAAATAATAATATAATAATAATAATAATAATAATTGTTGTTGTTTTTGCTGCTGTTGTTACTGTTACTACTACTACTACTACCACTACTACTACTACTACTACTACTGCTACTGCTACTGCTACTGCTACTGCTGCTGCTGCTACTGCTACTGCTACTACTGCTACTACTACTTACTACTACTACTTACTACTACTACTTTAATTTATTTTTCTTATCAGGACTACAATAGATGTTACCGTTACGTGTAATACGGATTACTACAATAGCGACTGCGCCACGTACTGCTTAGCCCAAGATTCAGATATCGATGGTCACTATACATGCAATCCATCAACAGGCGAAAAGATCTGTAACTCGGGTTATTCAGGAACAAGTTGCAAGAATAATATCGACGAATGTGCTAGCTCCCCTTGTCAGAACAATAGCACGTGTACAGATGGTATCGATGGTTATACATGCACATGCGCACCAGGTTATGAGGGCACATTGTGTTCAACGGACATTGATGAATGCGCTAGCTCTCCGTGTGCAAATGGTAGCACATGCGTAGATGAAGTAAATTACTACGAATGTCAGTGTGGAGTGGGATATTTTGGGGACCGGTGTGAAAATGAGATCGATGAATGTCTCTCTTTACCTTGCATGAACAACGCCACTTGCAGAGATTTTCTCAATGGATATTCATGTGAATGCGTTCCCGGATTCAGTGGCGAGCATTGTAAAATTGAAGTTGACGAATGTGAAAGCAGTCCATGCCTGAATGGAGCAGTGTGTTTTGACCTGCTCAATGGATTTGAATGCACTTGCGCAGACGGATACCATGGAGAGTTTTGTGAAGTAGATACCGATGAATGCGAAAGTATTCCATGTCAGAATAACGCCACATGTCACGATGACGTCAATGGGGTTCTCTGTGAATGTGCTTTTGGGTTCTTTGGAGAATTTTGTGATTTACAAATAAGTAATTGTTCTGGCTCACCTTGTAATAATAACGGTACTTGCGAGACCTTCGGCTCCTCGATAGTCTGTCACTGTTCACCGGGCTATTTTGGCGAACTATGCGACTGGGAAGAGGACGAATGCGCGAGTACACCTTGCCAAAACGGCGCAACATGCCACGACGTCATAAATGGGTATGTCTGCTCTTGCGCACTGGGATATTCAGGCACAAGCTGCCAATATGAAGTGAATGAATGTGAAAGTAATCCTTGTGTAAACAGCGCAGTGTGCATTGACCTGGTCGCAGAGTTTTTCTGTAACTGTACAGAAGGTTTTGAAGGTATTTCCTGCGAAATTGATATTGACGAATGCATTTTTTCAGAATGTTTTGGAAATTCAACATGTGTTGATGAGATAGGTGGATATTATTGTGAATGTCCAGACGGCTACAATGGTTATTTATGTGAAATTGAAATAAATGAGTGCTTAAGTGACCCCTGCCAAAATGGTGCCAATTGTACAGACAATATCAATGCTTTCATGTGTATATGTGCAGCTGGTTATACTGGTGTCACGTGCGAAGAAGACGTGAATGAATGTGATTCTTATCCGTGTTTCAACAATGCCACTTGCATGGATAAGCCTAACTCATATTCCTGTTTGTGTGACATCGGTTGGGAAGGTATCGTCTGCGACCTCAACCCAGATGATTGTTTGTACTCAAACTGCTCCACTAACTCGACATGTATCGATGGTATCGGTGGGTATTTCTGCGAATGTCCAGGAGGATACGAAGGAGAACACTGCGATAGGGATGTACAAGAGTGCAAAGAAGATCCATGCCAAAATGGCGCTACTTGTATTGAAGAATTTGGTGGATTTATGTGCGTCTGTGCCCAGGGCTTTGAGGGTGTGCTATGTGATGCTGACATCGATGAATGTGCGGAGATGCCGTGTGAAAATAATGGAACATGTATAGATATGGTCAGTATTACAGCTTATTAAATACGTCTTTGACATCATGTATCCTTACATGTTCTCATTGTATCAGTGTTATATTTATAATGCTGTTATTGCAAATCAGTTCTTATGGGTCAGTTCCAGTTCACCAAGGCTTCTGAAAATGATTAGCGGGTTGTCCGGAGGCTCAACGCCCAGTCATGCATTTTGCCCTGTATACATATCGTATTCATTATATAAAAAAATAAATAAAAAAAGATCTCTCTCATGGTTTGACTGTGCATATGTCAACATTCTGATGGTCAATGACAGCCAAGTGAAGAGGAACAGGTAACAAGTAAGTACCGTAAATAATCAAATAACGAAAAGTAATCACAATCATCATGTTGGGACAACCGTTCATTTGCTTTATATTTTGTATAATGTATATAATGTTTTTAACCCGCAATTATATGACTTTGTGCAGGTTGATAGTTATGAATGCTATTGCGCAGATGACTGGTACGATATGAACTGCACAACATACATGCCCGATTTGTGTTTAAATAACAACTGCACTAATAACTCCACTTGTCAAGAAACAAGTGTCGGCTTTATTTGTGTTTGTTTACCTGGATTTACAGGTAAGATATATTATTCTTTACATGTTACTTTAGTTTTTTTAATTTAAATAATTGATTGCTGAACACTTCATTAATCAATTACAATTTTTGTACAATTTGTATCTTTTTCATTTTTTTTTTCGTTGTATCCAGATAAATTGTTTTAAATATACTACCTTTGTAACGTTTTCAAATTGCATCATAATATTAACTTGCATAGAAAATAGCAGTCGTAGACAGTTTGGATTTAAACATATTTAATCAAAATTTCAGGTAAATATTGTGAGGAAGATGTAAATGAGTGTTCTTCAATGCCATGTAGAAATAACGGTACTTGCTTTGAGAGCGTCGATTCGTACTCTTGCACATGCAGCGTCGGTTTTATAGGACATAACTGTGAAATAAATGAAGACGACTGTCTTGATGGATTTTGTCTAAATGGTGGAACCTGTCTTGACCAAGTTTCTGGCTTTACATGCGAGTGTCCTTCGGGATTCGTTGGGGAATTTTGCGAAATTGATATTGACGAATGTGATAGCAATCCATGCGGAAACAATGCGACGTGCATCGACAAAATAAATGGCTATAATTGTACATGCGTAGATGGGTTCCAAGGATATAATTGTTGGGAGGAAATTGACGAATGTTTGTCGTCACCTTGCGCGAGAGGAACGTGCGTTGATGGTGTTGCTAACTACAGATGTATTTGTGAAGAAGGTTACTATGGCGATAAATGCGAATTCTTTGATTGGTGTCAGGGATCTCCGTGTCTGAACGGAAATTGTAGCAGCACATTAGACGGATTTATTTGTCAATGCCTATCTGGTTGGGTTGGAGCGAATTGCAACATCACTATCAATGAATGCGTGTCGTCACCTTGTATCCATGGTAATTGTATCGATAAGGTAGACGAGTACGTGTGCACGTGTAATGGTGGGTTTGAGGGCCTAAACTGTGACCTCGATATCAATGAATGCGCGTCGTCACCTTGTGTCAATGGTAGCTGTACCGATGACGTAGACGGTTACTTGTGCACGTGCGATAATGGTTTCGATGGCGCCAACTGTGAACTGGATATCAATGAATGCTTGTCGGCACCTTGTATTCGTGGTAACTGCACCAATGTTATAGATGGTTACGTGTGTACTTGTTACGCTGGTTTTGATGGGCTCAACTGTGAAATAGATATCAATGAATGCTTATCATCCCCTTGTATAAATGGTAACTGTACAGATGACGTAAACGGTTACGTATGTAGTTGCGATGATGGTTTTGATGGGTCTAACTGTGACCTTAATACCAATGAATGCGTGTCGTCACCTTGTATAAATGGTAACTGTACAGATGTCGTAGATGGTTACGTGTGTACTTGCAATGCTGGTTTTGATGGGATCAACTGCGACCTGGATATCGATGAATGTGCGTCGTCACCTTGTATCCATGGCAACTGTACCGACATCATCAATGAGTATTTTTGCGTTTGCAGTATAGGCTACACTGGACCTAACTGCGATGAGGATATCGACGATTGTGAAGGCATTGACTGTAAAAATGGCGAGTGTCTTGACCTATCAAATGACTTCATATGCCAATGTCAGTCCGGCTTTGAAGGAACATTCTGCGACAGCAATATTGATGAGTGTGTATCATCTCCATGTTTAAATGGTGGAACATGTACTGATGACATCGATAGCTTCAGCTGCACATGTCCAGAATCATTTTCAGGAAGCACCTGTGAACAGGACGTTGACGAGTGCGCAGGTATAAATCCTTGTCCTGATAATGCAATCTGCAACAATACATTCGGCGGCTTCTGCTGTTTCTGTAAGCCTGGGTTCAATGGTGAAAACTGCGAGGAATATGCGGATCCATGTTTACTTAACCCGTGTCAAAATGACGGGACGTGTATCTCTGAGGATCGAAATTTCAGGTAGACAGGCCTAGTTATTTGCTCTTATCGTTGCTATTGTCGCCGTTTGTAGAGAGCATAGACACCAAGGTGCTACACATTACCATTCTCATTATCACCATATGTACAATTATTTGATTATCCTCATCATCAACCGCATTATCCTATCCTCATGTCATGCTCACCATCAAAATCAATATCATCAACATTATCATCATCATCATCATCATCGTAGTCGTAATCGTCGTCATCATCATGATCACCATGACCATGATGATGATTATCAAGACAATTGACATCATCATCATCATTACTGGCGTGATCGGCACAAGGAATTGCTCAAACTGTGTTTCCTTTATTACCCAGATGTGAGTGTAGCAGTGGATTTACAGGTACATTTTGTGACGTCGTCATAAATCCCTGCAACTCTTCCCCATGTTTAAATGGAGGAAGTTGTAAGGAAGCTGATGATGGAAATTACAATTGCCAGTGTACCAAGGAATTTACAGGTGAAAGGTGCGAAATAGGTAAGCAAGTATGAGACGCCAACCGTACTTTCATTATTTAACAAAATTATATACATAATTCATTATTTACTATATAATTCAACATTTCTTCATTATACACATATAATTAGTTTTGCCTCCAACAATTATATATAAGTAATTGGTTAAGCGATTTTCATTATTTATAGATAATTTAAAGTAGCAAAACATTACTTGTAAATAAATGAATTGCCAAAAGTCATTATATATTAATAATTGTTTTAACATCGTATTATTTATGAATAACTGCAATGCATATTTCTTATTTATAATTGTTCGAAGAATACTGATTATATGTACATTTTGTTGCAAACTTGGCATAATTTAGTATAATTTTGACCTAAGAAGAAATATATATCAGCTTTCATACCACTTGTATATTCATATCATATGGACAGGTAAAAATAATTCAACCAACCCTCAACAGCCTTAGTTGCACTTAATAAAAATAATTGTTTCGTCCGAAAATCCTATCTACGAGTGCATCTGTGGGGTTTTTTTACCACACATAAAAATTCTGCAGATAAATTGTATTGAATAATGTTTGGAGGCTCCTCGATGCTAAGGCTGTGCCTTGTAGGAGCCTCCGCGTGAATGATTGAATAAAAAAAAATTCTTACTCAGTTAAATCCCTGTCGACGCGCTCTGCCCGCCCGCTTATTTTTCACCAACAATATTAATAAACCCCGATGAACCATGAGAACCTTACACAAATAGTGAAACAGCTTCAAGAGTAACAGCCTATGCACATTACTTGAAATTAGAGAAACTCATATGAAACTGTTGTTGCAGATAAATTAAATGGGAGGTAAGAACACTGTGTTTTAAAGTTTGAAGAAGTTTCAAACTTTAAACAAAGTCATTATCAGACCACTCAGATGCATGGAAGTGCATTTCTGAGCATCTACAAAACATAACCTTCCAGGGAGGTCTCCCTGACTCCCTCCGAATTACTCTACCATAACATCAAGTCTGCTTCTTTTTACAGAACCTTTTTGGTCTCATGGCCCCCACTTACAATGCCGAGCCAGCTATTAGGACAGTTGGGGCAGTCCCACACAAATTTTCTAATGGGTCCTCAAAGAATTGGTCCACATTTTAAAAAATGGGTCCAAATTATGCAATTGTATGCATAAATTAGTCCACTTTTTGAAATATAGGTCCAGATTTCTATTTTGCCTACAACCAATAAAAATTTAAGAAAATAAATATTTTTGCTTAATGTGCACAGGGATGGTACAAGATGATATAGGCCCAGGCCATGAATAGAGTGAATAGCGCCAAAATCGGATGATTTCCCTGGTTCCATGTGTTTTGAACGAGCAAAAAAAATAAAAAGAAAAAGCGTTATGATGTACGGGTTTACACCACTTAGAGCTATCAAAAAGCTCCGAAGATTGGTATTCTTAGCTCTGCTATATTTGACGTAACAATTATTGCAGGGCCCTGATGCATGATTTGACACTCATGATAGAAAATCATTGTTGAATTGTCCAGGTAAACACAACTAAAGCTAGGTTATTTAGGTTATCTTGCAATGCATTTATCGTCGACATTTATCAACATTTGTACTCTTAAAAGGTATTAAACAGTTACTGAACCAAAGAACAGTGCGCATAAAAGACATTTCGATTGTCCTGCAAATAATTAAAGTCATACAGAACTCTCTGTGCCGCCAAGTCTTGTCTGTGTATAGTTCTGATCACTGTCTTTCGTCAATAGCCATCTTTTCAAGGCATACAGTATTTCACGTACCTTATACACAGTTCCTTCTCTGTATTTTGTTCTGTTCATTGTGATTCGTTAACAGCATTTTTGACTTTACAGGGGTAATAAAAGCTGATTTACCAAAAAAGAGTACTCGTAAAAATACGTTTCGCTAGTCCTGCATTAGTACTATGTACATATGCGGAAAAATGATGTATTTTTCAAAAAATATGTCAAAACATGTAGCGTACGGTAGGTTTTTGTATTGTGATCAATTGCATATTGATAAAGCGACTCACCAAAGTTAACTAACGACTGTTGAACTGATGACAGAAATTTCTCGCGACGACCCATTTTGGGTTTAGATCGCTGGTGCAGGCAGAGTACAATTAAAAGTATATATTAAGATTGCAAAAACCCTTTCAAATAGATCTATCTTAGCGGAAAAAGTTTCACCCAGATAACGATTGCGGAGATTATCTTTGGCCCGTGAGATCAACTCTAAAAATAATTTGGCCTTCATGCAAATTAATCCGATTGAAGCATCTAATTCTTCACAGTTATGCAAATTCATAGATAGAAAGCACTTGTCTTTGATGCATGGCAAATAACAGAGGTCTCAATATTATACGCCCTATTTTATAAACATTTTAACAAGACGAGATTCTTATATAATCTTCTTATAAATCACGATATGAGATAAACTCTAAATGGTATTATTCTAATTTGAATATTTACGCTGCTGAGCTTATTCTACATTGCAACTAACTAGGCCCTATCCTTAATATGTCTTCATTGCACCCGTACTTATTATATTGCCGCGATTTATATCTTACCTAAGTGATTCATACGCACTTGACGATACTGATTTATTTGGCCGCAAAGCTAGGGTTGAAGCAAGGGTGTCTTTCTAGAAAGTTCAAATACAACAAATGATAGCTTCTCCGTATTTTAGACATTTCAAGTTCATCTTATGCCTTTTACCTGACGGGGAGTGTGTCAGATGAAGATAAACTTGCAGATGATATCAGTGAAGTATACAGTTACTCGTCCGGGTCAAATGATGATGTCACAGTATTAATATTATCAATAGAAGAATACGTTTCTGTCGAGACAGGGTGAGTCAAAGGTTTGTTCTACCCACCATATCCATCGTGGTTGATCTGTCCGTCTGCCGATGTTGGTCATTAACTTGTAGCCCGATGCTCACCTGGAGGAGTGGAATTTTTTGGGATGTGAATAAAATCCTGGCAAGTATTTGTCAGGATTAAACCCCCCCAAAAAATTACAGCTTAATCGTTGCCTATCCAAAAGACAGGTGATTAACATTGAGTTTAATAGTTGTTGGCGATTTAGGCCTTATAATGAAAATAATAGTCTACAGTATGATATATTTCTATTCCTTTAAAATTACTACTTGTCGCTTAGCTATCACAAATATACATTAAATACAACATTGTCGGACTCTTCGTTGATTCTTGATCAACCAAATACAATATTTTTTTTTAATGTTTTTTTTTTTCTCGTTTGATATATTATAGAGAACCTGTGAGTAGAGTTGAATTCGTATTGATAGTGAACAATACTGCGCAAAGCACAGAAGAAATACAATCCATGATAGCTGAAACGCCATCTGACGTCATCGAGGAGAGTTTAAAAACAGAACTCTTCACAGGAGACGCGGTGCCAAAAGAAGATTATACGGAAAAGGTAATAATAGAAAACTAGTTGATAATTTGTGTTGTAGGAGACGGCCGCAGGGGTAGATCCATAGAATATTCTGGGTAAGGGCTATGCGGAATGCAAAGCATCAAGTGTGGGGGCAGGTGGGGGTTGGAGTTTGAGATCTCTTAAGATATGCTTGAACATAGACACTGGTATATGGAATTTAAATCGCACCCACCCGGTACCCCACCTTTCTTTTCTTCTCTCTTTTATTTCTCTTATTTTTTAGCTCCAATAAGGAGCTCTAGAAACATTCGGCTGACTGATTAATAGATCTTTTTTTGTCGGCCGTTAGGGCCAATATACTCTAATGCCTCTATTATACTGCCCTCAAAGGAGCTTTCGAAATTAGGAGAACTTGTTTCTGGTTAATGGAAGGGGTGGGGGATAGACCATTTCTAACTTCATCGGTCCCTGCGCCAAATGACTAACATTCATTGTCTGTTGTCTAGAAGAAAGGTTCTGGTAATAGCAAGTCGTTCACTCGCTTGGTTTTTTGTAATTTAGATTACCCAAATAATCCCGTATTTAATATGTTTTTAAACTTTTTGTTTATTCAATTTTGTATTTTATTTTTAATGAGCACCCTTCAATATTATTGGCTAAATTGTATCCTGTATTTATTTGAATCACAAATGCAGGTCTCTGAGTTACCCGACTTAATTGATATATGTACGTTGAGCTTGCAAATTAATTGGGTTTTTCTTGTTTATTATTACTGTAAATTTGTTGTAGAAAAATGTCAAGTCACCCTTATTTGGTATGTTACTCAATAACTTTACTTAAAAGCTGTATATTGTTCCAAACAATAAATGGCACTATTTGCAAAAGATCGAAATCCTAAGCGGGTTATTAAGGATTAGTTGTTCTTTTCAATGTCTCAATGTCGTCCACAGGGCGTAACTGTTACGCAATATGCTTGTTTTCGTGTCTACAGGGATGGTTTGAAGAAAACTGGATTTGGTTTATGTTTTTAATTTTCGGAGTGTCTGCTGTAACCGTGGGCTTGGCGTTATGGGCTTACAGGCCAAAAAGGTGAATGTCAGCTTCTTATTAATTAAATATATAGCCATAGAATCAAAGTTGAGTTAAAGCATTTAAAATAAATCAAGAATCCAGAATAATTTATTGTCATCGATCAAACATGTAAACAATAAAAATTTTTTTGCCTGTTGCTCAAAATCTAAAATACGACAAAGAATACAAACATATTCATTATGATTGCTTCTTTGTTGTTTGAGTAATTTAATTGCAGTCAGTTGAAAATCCTCACCTGTGAAATAGAGACATTAACCATTATTTTTCATATACTCACTACATGGGCACTTCAGAGCGCTTGTCTGTAAATATCGACCAATTTCTTAAAGTAGTGACCAAACAAAAAAAAAATCGATTTTCTTCCAAATTTTGATTTAACTTTTGATAAACATGAAAAAAATCGAGATATTTTCCACAAATTTCATCTTGTTGCCATGGTAACATTTATGTGTTGTTTTCCCCCAAGATAGAACCAATTTTAACAATTTAGCAAATTATTTTGACCCAAAATTAGACCTGCCGTTCGGAAGAAGTAAAGTGGAATTTGTAAAATTGTTTTATGCCATATGTTTGAATAGAGGGTGTTCAGTTGTGAATGACAAATTTAGGCAGACAAATGACAGTATTGATTTTAGGAGATACCATTATTCTTATGGGTGTTTCCAAAACCTTAAAAACATACATTTTGGAGCACAATATTATGCGAAGTGCTACAACTTATATGGTAACCATAATAATTATGGAGCATCATGTAACTTTTGAACAGTGTTTTTCGATATAAAGGGTTAACATTTTAATTTTCTATGGTACTTTCTATGTATAATTTTTTTTAAAACACATTTCATATTTTTTATTTGACAATTCTTTAGTAACTAGCAAAATATCAGTTGTGTATCTGTCGGGGGAGGGCCAACATCACTTGAGCATCTGTGAGTTATGATCCTGCAAACCACTGCTTGCCTGTGGTCTCAAATTGCAGGAAAACGGTGCGGTGATGTTGGTTCCCCTGCGATAGTCTGTTTTCTCATGCTTTATTTTTTTTAATTCTTAGGTCGCTTGGTTAGACCATAGAGAAAATATTAATACACTATTTAACTTGTTATATTTCATTTTCATTGGCTCAGGCTAGTGATATCATAGGCCTACATTCGGCTGATTAGCCCTTTCGTTTATCTTTATTTTCTTTGTTGTTACCGCCCCTTTTTAATCCGGTCTAATTATACATATATTTTACGATTCATCTTAGTCACTGCTATATTGTTTATCCTC